ATTTTATTATTGATGTTATTATTTAACGATTATTGATGTTATTTTTAATATTTTCATTCTGTTCCACGAGCTGGAAGAGAAGTGAAGAAAAAGAATATTGCTTTTTCTTTAAAGTGGCCAAGAATGTTTAAATTCATCATTCAACGTTGCGAAGAAAAACAATCACTTAGTGGTCATAAGTATTTTATTTATGGAAAAAGCAACATATTGTTCGATGGTGTTAAAAAATCGTCTGTCATGATGACTCAGATGGTTATCTTTTGACTTTTTGTGGCTTTCATGAGTTTTCTGGAGCCAATTTCTTTGTTCTTGTTGGATTTGAGCTAGGAATAGAGGTGCATTCAAAAGAAAAAGGTCCAAGTTACTTTTACTGTTCAGTTCAGAAGTTCTTAGTTCCTTTATCGAAGTAGTTTTAGTAAAATCTTCGTTATGTGTGTAGCGAACTTAGGATACAAGAAAAGAAAGGTGACATTTCGGAGCACCAGAAATTACGTTTCGATTCCATTTTGGTGCATAGCACCGTGTTCAACATAAATATTTTTTGGTGGCGCTTTGATTTTGAACGTATTCGATATTGAAGCTTTTTCATATTTCCTTTATATTTTTTTATTGTTATTACATAAGGAAATGTTCATATGTTTTGTGTAGTGAATTGAATGAAGAATCTTTTCCAAACAAAGATTGAGACTTGGCGATCAGTTTTGACCGAGATGTTCAGAAAATACGGAGAGAGAAATTATTCTGGCTCACTGGTTCAAATGAAACAAATCTTCAACTTTTAGGCAAAAGAATGTTCAGATATTTGTAATAAATCTTCCAACATCGAAAGTTCATCCTTCCGACACAGAGCCGTCTCAACACTCAGTTGTTCAACTATCACCCGAAATTCAGCGTTCAGATTCCATTACGCCACAATCTCCAAGAGCAGTTTCCGCTCTACAAGAATTCAACCGTATAGATTCTGTTGATAGTAATGTATCTAAAACATCACGTCCAAGACGACGCTCATCATTGTAAGTGTTATAATAGTCGCGTGACAAGAGCTACTATATTTCTCATTTCTAGAGTCAATTTTATCCGTTCATTTTCATTTTATCCACCGTAAGTCCATTAATACTTGCATCAACTGTGTCTTAGATATCTGTTTGTAGGAGTCGTCGAGGCAGTCTGACTACTGTTGGAGCTAAAGTCACACAGGCAGCAATCACAGAAGAGAAATATCTTGAACTATTACGAGATCCAATCTCTCCACAATGTTTAGTATTTTTTGAAAATTATTTCAAAGAAGATATCAGGTCGAAGAAATTTACTGTTGGTGATTTCTGTCGGCTATTTCAAATGACACCTGTGTTAGGTAGGTGAACTCGGAAGAATTGCGAGGGAGATTTAATCCAGACTTCTTTTTATGGGATGTAGGTGAACGATTATTAAAAATATTTGAACAAGAAGAAGCGTTTGTTAAAGATTCAATTGATGGTACTGATGCACTGAGGATAGCACGTCTCCTCTGGGTTGGGACAATGTCAGTGAAAGCTCTCATCCTATTCAAAATGTTTGATCAAGATAGAGATGGAAAAATTTCACTCAGTGGAATGAAACAATTTTATCAACAATACCTCAAAGAATTTAAATTCCCACATAATGAAACAAGAACAAACGAAATCATTGATATCTTTCTCAACGGATTCATTTTTGTCATTGCCGACGAGGAAAATGATGGTGAAAAGCAAATGGTGGATTTTGATCAATTCTATTCAATTTTGAAATCGAACGATGATCTATTTCATACATTGTACCTCATCAGTATCCCAGATCAAACACTGCTGATCTCCCACTTGAGAGGCAGGGAGAAAAGACGATGCTGTATGAAGTATTGTT